GCTGATCCTTTCAAGGATTCTGAAGCACTCAATTCCCTGTATTAAATACCCTCCTGCTTGAGGCACACAGGGGGCTTCCTGTTGCTGTGTTCCTGAGTAAACTGGAAATGATGCAGTATATGGTAGCAGGAATCATTCCAGAAAACAGACCCTCAGAGACAGGAAGCTGGGTTGCTTTCCGTGGGTTGAATAAGGTCCCTAAAACGATGTTGCGGCCTTAACCCTGTACTTTGAGTATAACTGCTTGAAAATAGGACTTTCCTTGTGTTATGTTACTGACATCCTACCAGAGTAGGGTGGGGCCTAAACCTTATCCCTTCTGAATGGTGTGATAAGGAAGACACACACACACACACACACACACACAAGCCCATACAGGACTGTCTACACGCCCGGGACCACCACCGAGGAAGGACCTGCCCCTAGAGCCGCTGCCCTGATTTGGACCGTCTAGCCTGAAAAAGGGGTTGGAGCCAAGGATAGGCCCCAAGCCCCCGAGAGCCAGGAAAGGGAGGGACGACGAGTGGCCTCAGGGACCTCAGGAGTGGCAAGATATTCAGGTATAAAGGGGCAGGAGGCAAGGCAGGCCCCAAGCCCCCTAGAGCCAGGAAAGGGAGGGCCCAGGAGCAGCCAGGGACCCCAGAGTGGCAGGTTCCAGGCAGGAATTAGGTGAGGGGAGGGTGCAGAGGTTTCCAACAGCTGAGGGAGACAAACTTGTCTGTCAGTTTGCCATCCTGTGTGGCTTGTACATTGCTGTGAGGCTTGGGGCTGTGCCACTGGTGTTTCAGACGCCAGCAGGGTTGCACACGGTGCACAGGTTTCAATGCAGCTTACAGACTAAGACAGACTAGGAAGAAGGAAGAGGTCATCCACTTCTCAACAACTGGCCAGGGAAAACCTCATAAATAGCAGAGAAACACTGTCTGATACATTACTGGGCAACTTTATGAATAGCTCGGAAACATTGTCCAATACAGTGCAGGAAGACGAGCCCCTTGGGTCAGAAGGGCCTGTTACCCACGATAGGACTAGGAAAGAGCTGCCTCACCAGAGTAGAACCAACCTTGATGATACGGATAAAGTAAGTCTTTCAGGACCTCCATGTGCTGACATGGCACAACTCAGACTGAGGAGAAACAGCTGCAAACATCCATTAATCATCAGAACACAGAAAGAACAAAGTATGAATCTAGGAAAACTGGAAGTTGTCAAAAATGAAATGGAACTCATAAAGATTGATACTCCAGGCATTAGTGAGCTGAAATGGACCGGTTTTGGCCATTTTGAAACAGACAACCACATGATCTATGCCCGGAAGGTCAAATTGAAAAGGAATGGTGTGGCATTCATCATCACAAAGGACGTTTCAAGATCTGTCCTGAAGTACAATGCTGTCAGTGATAGGATAATATCCATACGCCTACAAGGAAAACCAGTTAATATGACTGTTATTCAAATTTATGCACCAACCACCAAAGCAAAAGATGAGGAAACTGAAGATTTTATCAGCTTCTGCAGTCTGAAATTGACTGAACGTGCAATCAGGATGTGTCAGTTATCACTGGTGACTGCAATGCAAAAGTTGGAAACAAAGAAGAATCACCAGTAGTTGGAAAATTTGGCCTTGGTGACAGAAATAATGCTGGAGATAGCATGATAGAATTTCACAAGACCAACAACTTATTCATTGCAAATACCTATTTTCAACAACACAAACGGCAGCTATACACGTGGACTTTGCCAGATGGAGTACTCAGGAATCAGGCTGACTACATCTGTGAGAAGAGGCAACAGAAAAGCTCAGTTTCTTCAGCCAAAACCAGGCCAGGAGCTGAGTGTGGAACAGACCATCAACTGCTCATATGCAAGTTCAACTTGAAGTTGAAGACAATTAAGTCCACGAGAGCCAAAATATGACCTTGAATATATCCCTCCTGAATTTAGAGACCATCTAAAGAATAGATTTGATGCATTGAACACCAGTGACTGAAAACCACAAGAATTGTGGGATATCAAGAGTATCATCCATGAAGAAAGCAAGAGGTCTCTAAACTGATGAGAAAAGACGGCCAAAATGGATGACAGAAGAGGTTCTGAAACTTGAGTTTGAGCGGAGAATAACTAAAGCAAATGGAAGAAATGACAAGATATAAGAGCTGAACAGAAGATTTCAAAGAGCAGCTCAAGCAGAAAAAGCCAATTATTATAATGAAATGTGCAAAGACCTGCAGTTAGAAAACCAAAAGGGAAGAACACACTCAGCATTTCTCAAGCTGAAAGAATTGAGGAAAAAATTAAGCCTCGACTTGAATACTGAAAGATTCTATGGGCAAAATATTGAATGATGCAGGAAGCATCAAAAGAAGATGGAAGATATACACCGAGTCACTGTACCAAAAAGAACTGTTGATCCTTCATCCATTTTGGTAGGTGGCATATGTTCAAGAACCAGTGGTATTGAGGGAAGAGGTCGAAGCTGCACTGAAGGAACTGGTGAGGAACAAGGCTCCAGCAATTGACGGAATACCCACTGAGGTGTTTCAACATACAGATGCCCTGCTGGAGGCACTCACTCAGTCATACCAAGAGATCTGTAAGACAACTACCTGGCCAATTGGCTGGAAGAGATCCCTATTTGTACCCATTACAAAGAAAGGGGATCCCACAGAATGTGGAAATCATCAAACAACATCATTAATATTGCATGCAAATAAAATCTTACTGAAGATGCTTCAAAACCGGTTGCAGTATATTGACAGAGAACTTCCAGAGGTGCAGGCTGGACTGAGAAGAGGACGTAGAACAAGGGATATCATTGCTGATTTCAGATGGATCTTGGCTCAAAGTAAAGAATACCAGAAAGATATTTACTTATGTTTTATCAACTATGCAAAAGCATTTGATTGTGTGGCTCATGACAAATTGTGGATAACACTGAAAAGAATGGGAATTCCAGAACACTTAATTGTGCTCATGAGGAACCTGTACATAGACTAGGAGGCTGTCATTCAAGCAGAACAAGGGGGTACTGCATGGTTTAAAATCAAGAAGGGAGTGCATCAGGGTTGTATCCTTTCACCACACTTATTCAATCTGTATGTTGAGCAAATAATCCGAGAAGCTGGACTATGTGAAGGAGAACGTGGCATAAGGATTGGAGAAAGAATCATTGACAACCTGAGACCGATACGCTGACAACACAACTTTGCTTGCTGAAAGTGAGGATGACTTGAGGCACTTATTGATGAAGAATGAAGACTACAGCCTGCAGTATGGATTACATCTCAATATAAAGAAAACAAAAATCCTCACAATTGGACCTATAAGCAGCATTACGGTAAACGGAGAAAAGATTGAAGTTGTCAAAGACTTCACATTGCTTGGTTCTATAATCAATGCCAATGGAAGCAGAAGTCAGGAATCAAACGATGTACAGCACTGGGCAAATCTCCTACAAAGGACCTCTTTCAAGTGCTGAGGAGCAAAGATGTCTCCTTGGGGCTAAGGTGCGCCTGACACAAGCCATGATATTTCCAATTGCCTCATATGCATGTGAGAGCTGGACAATGAATAAGGAAGAGTTGATGCTCTTGAGCCGTGGTGCTGGTGGAGAATGCTGAAGGTACCATGGACTGCCAAAAGAACTAACAGATCTGTCCTGGAGGATGTGCAGCCGGAATGCTCCTTGGAAGCAAGAATGGCCAGACTTCGTCTCACGTACTTTCATCATGTTGTCAGAAGGGACCATGCCCTGGAGAAGGAAGTCATGCTTGGTAAGGTGGAGGGTTGATGAAAGAGGGGAAGGCCCTCCACAAGGTGGACTGACACGGTGGCGGCTAGATGGGCTCAAGTGTAGCAACAATGGTGGAGCTGGCTCAGGACTGGGCGGTGTTTTGTTCTGCTGTGCCTAGGGTCGCTATGAGTCGGAGCCGACTCCTCCGCACTTCACAACAGCAGCCTGGAAAACAGTGAGGCGTGATCCCTGCTCTTTAAAATCAGTGACTTGTGGGACTTAGGGAGCGCCAGGAAATCAAGACCTTGGTTACATGAAATGATGGTTTCATCGTCTGTGAGAAGCCGGGTCCTGGCAGTCGAGGCGGGAATTGCCTGGGATGGAGTGGTGCTTGAAGCCAAGGTTTTGGGAGAGCACGGAGCAGCTGCAAAGCAAAGTCACCGTGGACTGTGTGGTGGGCTGGGTCTCATGGACTGCTGCGTGGCCAAGGCCAAGGGGCAGTGTGTGGCTGTCAGAGAAGCTGGGGGGCGGCTGACGAGGAAACGGGGCTAGCACAACAGCCCACGTGTCCCTGGACCCAAAAAAGACGGACACCCTTTGCAAGCTTGAAGTGACCTGCATCATTTCCGACATCCCGATCCGATGACATGATGCTCCTCGTGGAGGGTCAGCCTGTCTCCCAACTGGAGGCGGAGGCTTCTGCTGGCCACCCACCGATGGTTCCACTGAGTCAGAAACCGAGGCCGGCGGGCTCGGGCTCCCTGCGGCACTGCACCACAGCCAGGGCGCTCGGAGCGGGTCTGGGAAGGCGGAAGTTATGCACCGCGAGAGGCTGGGTGGCCTGCGCAGCCCCGAGGGCGTATTAGCACCCGCTGTGCGTCACACACGTGTTCAGAGGCCGCGGGGGCACAGCCGGACGGCGAGCAATGAGCAGTTCAGAAACGTCCGTCTGTGCTGCGCTGTAGGGACGTCCTGGAAATCCACACGCCATGCGCACACGATACACCGCCTTAGTCAGAGCATCGTCCTAACGTCGCTCCGAGAGCCCAGGGCGGCAGCTTCCTCTCGCAGCGGCGCGCGGAAAAGCACGGCCCAACCCCGAACCCCGGGCCCCGCCCCGCTCCTTCCGGTTACCGGGGGCGCATGCCCGCTGCGCGTCTGCGGCGCCTGGCCCTGCGCGGCCGCCGTAGCCAGCGGCGCGGACTACGGTGGCCGCGGTGGGCGCGCCAGCGCGGGTCCGACTCGGCCGGGCGGCGGCCAGGGCGCCGCCATGGGCAACCTGTTCGGCCGCAAGAAGCAGAGCCGGGTCACCGAGCAGGACAAGGCCATCCTGGTGAGCGCGCGGCCCGGGACGGACGTGCGGCCCGCGCTGGCCGGACACCTGGCGGGAGGCCGAGGCCGGGCCGGGGCGGTTCGCCGGGAGGCCCCACCTGCGGGCGGGAGACGGAGGCGCAGGGAGGTGGCGCCCAAGGTGACACAGCGACGCGGGCTGCTCGCGGTCCGGGCCCGCGACCCAGCGCGGGTGGTCCCCGTCCCCTCGTCCCCGGGGCTCCAGCCGAGGTCCGAGCGTGTCCCGGGCCGGACGGACATGTCCCGCCCCGCTGCCCTTTGGCGCTCGGGCTCCCAGGCCTGCCGCGGGGTGGTGTTGGCTGTTCACGAGGACGGTTGGCAGCTCTCTCTAACGCAGAGCCGGCGGCTTCCGACGTGCAGGTGCTGAGCTGCCGACCCGTTTGTCTGAACGTGCCACGAGCCACCCGACTCAGCCTTGGCGGGCCGGGTGGCACTGCGCCTCGGGCGGACCGCCTCATCCTCCCGCTGGGGAGCCGCTGGGTGGGTTTCCCTGCAGACTTGCGGTCAGCAGCACGGCCATTCGCCCCTGTGCTCCTCGGTCCGAACCGGTTACTAACACGGAATTCGGATGGCTTGTGGACTGATGGCGGCGTGGCACTCAGGTAGTGCGACCGCGTCCTCCGGAGCCAGCAGGAAGCGGCCTGACTGTCCTGCAGCCAGAATGGTCAGAGCCCAGGGCCTACACCTGCAAGGCCAGTTCCCCAGACTTCGGTGCCGCCGAGCGGGGCCTGCACCCCAGCTTCCTACACTCAGGCCCGAGTCACGTCGTCTGCGGGCCCTTCCTCTCCAGCCTGCTGCCATGCGTCACTCTGTGCCTTTAGTTCTCCTCCCGGCACCCTGAATCTGACCATGCTCGCGCTATGCGCCTGGCTGGGAGGCTGAGTGGATGGGGTGGCGGGCAGGGGCACCGGCATCCCTGCTCGCCGGGCTCCAATGACACCGCGTCGGTCATCCACGGAAACACCGCAGCCCCTGACGGGACGCGCGAGGGGCGTAACCGTCGCCCTTTGGTCCCAGCTCCCAGCTTCAGGGCCCTGTCAGGTGCGTGAAGCCCCTTGACCCACAGCCGGCAGCTGGTTTGGACGACCACGTGGTACGGGTCGCCGGCGGTGTTTGCTGCTGCCCCTCCCGGTGGGTTCCGGCGCCTCTTGCCGGGAGCTGCGCTACAAAGGTCGGTCTCTGGAAGGACACCTGACCCGTTCCGCGAAAGCAGCTGCCTCAGGGGCGGGAGCATGGCTTCCCTGTGCTGAGGCCCCGGTGTCCAAACTTTCTGCAGCGAAGATGTGTTCTTTTTGTGCTAAAAGAGACAAATCCAAGGTGGTCCCGTCCCTTGGCTTCTGAAAGGAGCCCTCGTAACGGGAGGCCCCCTGTGCAGAAGAAGACGCGGCGTGCAGCCGCTCCAGGAGGTCGGCCAGGAAGGGGCCGCAGTCTGCCCTCGGAACGGCCAGGCCCAGCGGCACCAGGGCCCTCCCCTTCTCTCTTTAGGGACTAGCCAGAAGTTCGCTTTGGTGGCTTCCCGGGGAGGGGGCGTGGATGCGTTCTGCCTCAGTCCCCCCCACGGAGCGCCCAGCGCTCGGGACAACGTGCCCGGCACAGGACCGACAAACTGTCGCTCGGTGTTTGCCGGGGTAACCTCAGCTCGGAGCCTGCGGGCCCAGCATTCAGTCGGTGGCCCTCCGCGAGCCCACTTGGCCTGAGAAGAGGTGGCCTGTGCCAGCACCCGGGGAGGGGAGGGGAGGCTGAGCTGGGGGTCGGCGTGGCTCTCACAGGCGAGAGGTGGGATCGAGAAACACTGGAGGGAGCCCCAAGCGCGGACTCGGCGTGGGGGGCGTGGCATGCGCGCTGTTTCTCTCACAGTGTTCTGAACCCTCCCCGACCGCACCCCACCGTGCAAAGCCCCGCACAGGTGGCGTCTGGTGGTGTGACGGCCACACCCCTGTGGCTCTTGTGTCCCTCGGTGATGCTGCAGCTGACCGGGGGGTGGCCTTCTCGCCGTCAGCATTGTGGATGTGGGGACTGGGTGATTCTTGGCGGGGCCGTGGGCCGGCATCCCTGGCCTCCACCCACCACGTGCCACGAGCAGCCCCCCACCCCCCGGTGCAACAGCTGTGTGTGGTCCAGGGGCAGCCGTGCCTCTGCCAAGAGGAACTGTGTCATCAAAGATTGCATAGTAGAATCCTCATCAAAAAGGGGGAAATGTAGAGCAGAATTCCAAGTTCTCACAGATCGCAGGCTCTCTGGAGCCCTGGGGGGTGGACGAACCCCTGAAACTAATTGTTCTGGTTACTTAGTGCCACTCTGACAAGAAAATACCCCAAACGGGATGGCCTTAAAAAACAGGAGTTTATTCTTACAGTTTGGAGGCTTTAAGTCCAAGTTCAAAGTGCCAGGCTCTAGGGACTCGGTGAAAGCCCCTCAACCTTGGGGTCCAGCTCTGCCTCCTGCTCCCGGCCCACTGGAACTAGAGGCGTTTCTTCACTCAGACAGTTGTTAGCTGCTGAGGCTGAGAAGCCCCAAGGTTGACAAGTAAAAAGGCACAGTCCCGATGTTACCAATCCACACGGCAGGCCGTTAACTTAAGTCCATTGTAAGTCCCAAGGTCGGCAGAGCATAGCAGGCTGCCGAACAATGACACGGCTACATGCAGGGGCCAGGCGTGCCATAGGCTAGAGACCATTCTCAAGGCTTCTCCTTATATACAGGAAGCAGACCACATCCCAAAGGCAGCTACTCGGCTGCTCCCAGTAGATTCCACCATGGAGTTGATGATGTCTTATCATGGGGAATACTACCTCCAGCTGCCCAGCCACTCAGCCAGGTCCAGCCACGCTGACGCAAACTTAACCATCACACTAATGCTCTGATATCATCTCTTAAACCCCAAATATCCTGTGATGTCTTAAAACCAAACAGTAGTTTAGCTGAAAAAAGCCTCGGCGGGGAGCTTTGCACTCTTTGAATAACTACGTATGTGGGTTGAGATTGGTAACACCTGGAAAGCCAGGGACCTTAGGGGACAGTGAGTGTGTTGATGGGGGAGGAACGACTCCAAAAGGGAGGGTGAGTGTGGTTGCACGGCTCAGTGTCGCCCCACAGTCCGTGGGGAAGCTGGTGACCGGGACACGTTCTGCTGTGTGAGTCCCGACGAGGAGACGTGCGACTTGAGAAAAGGGAGGAGCTGCTCCCACGCATCACCAGGTGCCCACTCCCCCCGCCCAGAGCAGACATGCTGCACGGAGCCCGTCGTCACAGGGGTGCGCCCCAGTCTGGGCCTTGGGTGCCCACAGGCGACCCTCTGCCACCCCAGGCCGGCTGGTGTCGGCAGCCTGGGTGGGCGCTGCCTGAAGCTTCTCCCCTTCCCCCAGCAACTGAAGCAGCAGCGAGACAAGCTGCGGCAGTACCAGAAGAGGGTCACCCAGCAGCTGGAGCGGGAGCGGGCCGTGGCCAGGCAGCTGCTGCGCGA